TTATACAAAAGCACTCTGAATGGATGTTATGGGATTCCATGGGTTCACTACAAGGGCCGTCAGGGAGATTTTTACATTCTGGTTTGTGTGATGTTTCAATTTTTTTTGTTAACTATCTAAAATAAGTTAGAAATTCTAATGATTGTTTTTTCAGGTCATGGATATGCTTGGTCCTAGTCTTTGGGATGTCTGGAATTCATTGGGACAATCGTAAGACCCTCTCTTTCTTCTCCATTGGGTCTACCCATTGTTATTAGTAACACGATGCACTTTTTTGGAAATAGAATCTTTATTCATCATTATTATCTTCTTTTTTGTGCTACAAGTTCCCTTGTTTGATAATGGCACCTGAAACAGGATGTCTCCAAATATGGTTGCTTGCATTGCTGTGGAGGCTATCTCAATTCTTGAAAAACTCCATATGAAGGGGTAATACTTGATATTTTTCTTATCGCGTCTTATATTAGGTTTAAAATTAATTTAATTTCATGACACTTTCTTATTTTTCACTTTCAATTGCTTTGTTTACTTGAAGACTATTGATTACTGCTGGCTGTTGATGTTACTCATCTAGGTTTGTGCATGGAGATGTGAAGCCAGAAAACTTTTTACTCGGTCAGCCTGGAACAGCTGATGAGAAAAAGCTATACCTTATTGATCTTGGTTTGGGTATGATACTTGCATCCTGTTATCTTTTTCTGTATCTTGACTATTTACATAGTTTTAAATGGCGAATGGCGAGGCAAGGCGATTCGCCCATAGCCTCACCACGAGGCGAGGCGATTCGCCATGGCGAAGCCTCGCGAACACAAGCCATCGAAGCTTAAAAAATATATATATATATATAGATAGTAATATCATATATTTAAGTTTAAGTGCCGAAAATAATCTTAAATATCCTACAAAAGATAACATAAATTAAATTTGGTTGTAATTCCTCAAAGCATCTAAAACTTAAATGTGAATACTAGCAATAAGGTAAATAAAAAGTGTAAAGTAAAAGAAATTGAAAGAAAATGTCACCCTTGACTATTGACAATACTAGTAACAAAAATAAAGTAAAAAAAAAAAAATTGAAGAAAGAAGAAAAAGATTAGCGGCAGAAACGGGAACGAGAAAACAGAGAAAAGGGAGAAGGAAAAGAAAGGAAAGACACGCATCAGTGACCATCTTGGCGGCGGCGAGATGGTGGCCGGAGTTCAGAGGAGGCCAGAAATGGGATGGGTCGACCGTGGGTTTCTGCAATTTTCAAATCTGAGAAGCCTAGGGAGTTCTTTTGCAGAAACCCTAGTCCTAGTTTGGGGAGGAGCCATTTAGGGATTTTTCACTGAAGTTTTTTTGCTTCGTGGGTCTGGGAGATGAAGTGAAGAAAGTGCTCGATCTGTTTTAATTTATTCACTTTCCTAAAAGTTCCACGTTTTTCTTTTCTTTTCTTTTTTTTTTTAAATGGACAACGCCTTTAATTTCTCTGAAAGGGCCGAGGCGCGCCTCATAGCGCCTCTCACCACTCGAAAAGGCGAGCCGAGGCGACCTGAAGCAAGCGCCTCGCGAACAGGGTCGCCTCAGGCAGTGGCGAGGCGATATGGCCCTCGCCTCGGTCGCCTCGCCTCGAGGCGTCGCCATTTTAAACTATGACTATTTAAAATTCATAAGATCATAGCTAAACCATATGACATAGAATGCAATTAAATTTTCACTGTCGCAGTACTTATAGGTTATAGCTGCCTTCTATTTTACGTTTTTTTTTTTTT